TCCACACATCCACAATTTCAGTACTCAACAGACAGATTTTTAACTTCGAAAACTTAATTTAATCATTTTTTTTTTTTTATCAAATAAATGCAGCTTTGGTGAGCAAGAGACTTTGCAAAAACAGTCAAAAGTAATACCCACCCCAAACTTTTGAACGATATTGTATGTATGAATGAAAGAAGATTTATTTCATATGATGTTACATGACACTGCACTCTAGATAGAATGTATTTCTGCACAGGACACATATTAAAGTTGCTTTATTTTTCACGTTACCTGTTCCATCTGCTGCTTTGACCTAGAAAAACACATTTCTAGTTTTATGCATTAAAATAAAAAAAACGAAAAATAAAAAAGGTTTGTAATGATATTATTATGTTTTTTTTACAAGTTGAGATATAATCATTTAAATGTAGGGTGACATTTTGCTTTTTTTACTTCATTGCATAAAACTCAAAATGTGTTTCTGGGTCATAGTGACTTTAATGATGTTTTTGAAGTTTCTTCATTCTTTGTTTCACAATACAAGAATTCATTGTATGAAAACCCAAAACGTAGCTTGTGGGAAAGAAGTGCATTTATTGACACTAAGCTTGGTGCAAATTTCTGACATTAGACATTGAATAGAAGAGGATAAAGTGTATTGAACAAAATCATTTTAATCTGATCTGTACACTTTGAGTAGGGCAAATCTCGCACAATGATTAATGAAATGAAAATGATCATAGAATAACTAAATTATGATTGTTGTTAGTGTAAAAACCAAGCGGCAACCTTCCGGTCTCTCTCTTGAAACCAACACGGAAGTGACTTAAACTTCCAAAACTCCTAAAGGGAGTCAATCCCATAGACCCCCCATGTTAAAATGCCCAACTTTACAGCAGAAATTTTTGTTTACAGCCTGGTACAAAAAGTGGTTTTGGTCTATATAGCTAATTTTGCCCTTCATGACAACTGTGAGGGGGGAGAATTTTTTTATAACTCATCCGTTTAAATTATATTAAGCCTTAAAGTTCTGCATAATTATTTTGGTTTATATAGCTAATTTTGCCCTTCATGACAACTGTGAGGGGGGTGAATTTTTTTATAACTCATCCGTTTAAATTATATTAAGCCTTAAAGTTCTGCATAATTAAGGGCGTGGCCACTTGAGTGACAGGTGGATTGCCGCTGCTGTCACCACCGTCGAGCTAGGTGGGCGTGGTTTCAGCAACCAGCTCCACCCATGTCCCGCCTCTTTGCCCATTTTCGATTATCTGAGGGTGACGCGCTGTGGCACGCTGCCAAGAGGGCGACGGCCCGCTCTGCCCAATTTAGGCTTCAAAAATGCTCTTCAGAAACCTACGGGTGACGTCACGGACACTAGGTCCATGTTTTTTTACAGTCTATGGTAAAAAAACACTCTTACATGAATAAGTGGACCGTGGAGAAAAAAAGTTAATAAGCCTGATAAGACACTGTTCTACAGTAATTCTGTTAATATGCAAGTGTCTGTTTTTTTCATACAGTTTTTCATGTCAGTACTTAAAGTGCTTCCTGTTACATGACCAACTCACCTGTCAATCATCACCTTTAAATACATGCATTCTCTCTCTCTCCTCAACTCTAACCCACTGTCACATAAACACACTTCCACACAAAGAGGAGTTTATTAGGGAACCAGTGGTGATGAAAAGTATAATGACAGAGAGGGGAAAAAAACAACCAGAGGGAGAGATGGAGACAGATAATGATTGTGTGTGTGAGTCTTCAGAAACCTACGGGTGACGTCACGGACACTAGGTCCATGTTTTTTTACAGTCTATGGTAAAAAAACACTCTTACATGAATAAGTGGACCGTGGAGAAAAAAAGTTAATAAGCCTGATAAGACACTGTTCTACAGTAATTCTGTTAATATGCAAGTGTCTGTTTTTTTCATACAGTTTTTCATGTCAGTACTTAAAGTGCTTCCTGTTACATGACCAACTCACCTGTCAATCATCACCTTTAAATACATGCATTCTCTCTCTCTCCTCAACTCTAACCCACTGTCACATAAACACACTTCCACACAAAGAGGAGTTTATTAGGGAACCAGTGGTGATGAAAAATATAATGACAGAGAGGGAAAAAACAACCAGAGGGAGAGATGGAGACAGATAATGAGAGAGATTGTGTGTGTGAGGAGTCTCATATAGAAGGAATGTATCCGGTATATGTTCACGTGTGTGTGTGTGTGTGCGTAATAGCAAGTTTATGTGCTTGAGGCAGACAATAGTTGTGTGTCTGTGAAGTTGTTTGTTTAGCAGGCTGTCCCTCTCTTAAACACGATTTTATTCGCTGAGGAGCAAATACACTCTCACAGTCTTTTACAGTCTCTCAAGGTGAGATACAAAATGAAGCGCTCTTTTTTTCAGGTACAGGTACTTGTTGCTTTAAGGGCTTCCTGAATTGGTTTTTGTCATACTGTAGGATACACGTGGAAGAGGGAGTAAGAACTTAAAATGCTTTTATATTGTTCTTTCTGATAGAAACGTTCAAGTGTTGTATAAACTGTGACAATCATACAGCCGCGTAAATGGAAAGTAAATATGATTTTAAGTCAATTCAATTGATGTTTAACTTGATTTAAGCTTCTTTGTGCCTTAATGGTTTCAGTATTATGGAAAGAATACTTACATGTCATGTTTGTAATGTTTTTAGCATATTTGGCCAGTCAAACATTTTGCTGGAATATTTCAGACCTTAAGTGTTCACTTCACTTAAAATATATAATATATTTGGAAAAAGCTTTGAGCTCAACATTGAGCTCAAATATGCATTGTGTCATTATTACTGTGTTTTTAGTGAAATAATAATATATATGTTAGACGATATTTGGTCATTTTGAGACAATTTTACTTCCTTTTATCACTTCACTTCCTTTTTTTCCCAATATCTGTGTCAATATTTTTTGCTTATTAGAGTATTGTAATATTAGATTAGCAACATGTAAATCAAATTTTTCCACATTTTTAATAAAAAACATGGTCTAATATTGTGTAAAATGAAGTGTTGATTTCATTGTTTACGTTTTTGTGTATGTATTTGCAGTCTTAAAATTATAGTGTTTTATTTTTATTGAAATCAAATGTAAAATTTAAATGTTATTCTATTTTATTAATTTGATTTTGTTTTATTTTAAGTCAAATATACATTACACATTTTATCAGCAAGTCTAGATCGGCATTGGTCTTTGAAAAACGCATATTGGTCAATAACTAGTGTTTTTCACTAATACATTTCTGTGGCTGTGCTTATAATAGCTTGGTTTATATTGGTTTTGGTGCTTTTTATGGCTCTGCAATCAGTTGTTTGCTTTTATTCCAGTAGCTTCTGATTTCTATTGACCCAGTGAGTTTTTAATGCAGCTATTATGAGAATGTCATTCAGAGTGGTGTTTGCTGTCGTGCATGACCCTGCGGACCAACAATCAGAGAAGACAATGTTGTTATGTTAAAGCTAAATTGCCCCACACCCCATTTTTTAATGCATTTATATTGACTTCATATATTATTATGCCTTGTAATTCAATTCACAAAGAGAAAGAGGATATAGATTCATTTCAACCCCTCTCTCTGAGATATCTTTTATTTAGAATCGTTATTTTTAGTCCTGGATGTCTGGGATGTGGTTCCTTCAAAGGGCCAGAGGAATCTAGAGCAGATTCTTTCCTCCCATTTCTATATCTCCCGTGACCCTTAAGGCCAGCAACTGTTGGCTGCCAGCAACTGGGATACAGTCAGTGAGGCAGAAATGTGTTGCTATGGCTGACATAACTGACATAACACTTGTGCTGACTAACCCATGGCAGATGACCAGTTCTTTAATGCAGAACATGGGCAGTAAATCAAAGCCATGTTCTATTAATTATACAGTGGCCCCAAAAAATATTGGGACACTTGAGCATCAGTTAAAAATTTATGGATTTCATTGCATAGCAAAAAAAATCTAAGCAAGCGGCTACAAACAAATAAATAAATAGGCTGCTGCATTCGTAAGAGTTGGTAATTGATAGAAAATACAGCTTTGACATGAATAGAGTTTACACTAAATGAAAATGTATTATTTGAGAAACTACACATATTAGTCTTAAGTAGGAATATTTGTAATTTTAAAAATGTGTCACCGTTTTTAATAGACTAGGCAAAAATGTAAAAAATTATACTATATTAGATAAAATAGGGCTGTCGCGATAACTGCAATACCGTGCTATTGACGAGCAAACCGCAGAGGAATGCAAGAACCGCAGCAACCACAATTTTTGCGTGATTTAATGTCTGTGAGTATATATATATATATATATATATATATATATATATATATAGGCCTATATATATATATATATATATATACTAGCAGACATTAAATCTATATTTATAGAATATGTCTGATGTATGTTAGTTTTTGTATTAATGCCAGTATATTGTTAACATAGCATGAAATATTGGCTCCATAAATAGAACCATGATTATAGATAACCTTGACCCGAGAGTATGGTAAATGTCATTAACATATTCCTAGTAGAGTCCACATGACCTTTATGTATAGCCTTTTACATGACTCTCCTCAGCCAATCAGATATGCTTATGCTCTGAATTGAGTGACACTAGGATACGGCTGGGTCAGCGTCAGGGCCTCGATGGCGTCTCCTAGCAACAGGGCAAATGTGACGCCCTCAGCGATTGGAAGCAAAGGCTTTGCATACTGCTTTGACTGAGCAGCCAATCTATGCTCTCTGATATCACTGCAGCTCCTAGAGTGAGTGAACGTCCAGTCACGTATTCAGCCACAGAGCAGATGTGAAGCAACCTCAATCTAGACTGCAGGGACACAGCATCTGTTCTGAACTTAACCGGCCTGTTTGTTTTAAGTGATAATGGCTCCTTTCTGTGTTTAAATGTGTGTGTGGTTTGTAATGATTATTTTAAATGATCGCTACAGTGCTTATCAACATGCTCTCTCTTAATTTCTCTCTAGATTGAGAACATTGGTGTCTGTCTGAGCTTCCTAGCAGCCAAAGGTGTGAACATACAGGGACTTTCAGCTGAAGGTAAAAACACAGTTTTTAAAATTTATTTACAGCTTCAAGCAAGATTTTATTTACAATTTGATCTTAGATGATTGCGAAATATGGGTATTTCACACTTTAAATTAAGTTTCACACTGTTAATACTTCACTATAGATTAGTAATTTAGCAATTTGGGTAGTCAGGTTTCAAGAATTTACACTGTACATCTGTAAACTGTGGGTTCATGTTTTAATTTGCATATTTATTGGACAAGTACAGCACACAATTTGTTTGCTTTTTTGAGTGCCTCTTCATCACATAATGTGTTTTCCTTCACTCTTTGTCATTTTTACATTTCCCTTAGATGCTGAAACAAAAGTTTCTTCAACTGTACCAAGAACATTAATATTTAATGAAGCATGAGTTGTTTAGTTTATCATTGGCTGTTTATTGCAGGAAAACAAACATACACAACATTTCAAACTTTGTTGCCATTGCAAAAGCTGTACTTCATAACCTACAGTTAAGACAAATTTGTTTGTATAGTGTTAATGTTGTTAAATGTTATAATGTTATAAAATTCATAAATTATGAAACAAATTCAAGCTGTAAAGCAGCTCTACAGAAGACAAAAGTGTCATTATTCAGCTCAATTTAGTTCAATGTTGTTTCAGTTCAGTTTAATAACTGTCAATGTTGTAACGTTTATCAATTATGAAACGAGTTCAATTAAACTGTAAGCAGCTCTTTAGAGGGCAATAGTGTTCTTAATTATTCATGTAACGTAAGTCAGTTCAATTTAGTTAATTTGATAGTACCAGTGCAGTTTAATCGATAATATTACTGAATATTAATCGTCTTTTTAAGCCCCATAAAAGTGGTGCTATCACCCTTTCAAAATTACAAGCTGCTTAAAGAGATAGTTCACCCAAAATTGAAAATTCTGTCATTAATTACTCACCCACATGTCGTTCAAAAAATCGGAAGACCTCCGTTCATCTTCGGAACACAAATTAAGATATTTTTGGTGAATTCTGACAGCTCTCTGACCCTCCCATAGACAGCAAGGGTCCTTACATGATCAAGGTCCAGAGACGGAGCAAGGAGATCGGTAAAATAATCCATGTGACATCAGGGGTTCAACCGTAATATTACAAAGCTATGAGAATACTTTTTGTGCGCAAAAGAAAACAGCGTATGCTGTTCTGTGTCAGCTGTGCCACGCGGATACGTTGTTTACGTTCAGATCAAAGCGCAAACAACGTAGAAAACGTATCCGCGTGGCGCAGCGGACACAGAATAGCATACGCTGTTTACGTTCAGTGGATAGTCTCCAAAATGGCGCTAGGGTGACGCAACAATTTATTCAATTGTTGAATAAAGTCGCAATTTTTTTTGCTTTTGCACACAAAAAGTATTCTCCTAGCTTCCTAAAATTACGGTTGAACCCCTGATGTCACATGGATTATTTTACCGATCTCCTTGCTACGTCTCTGGACCTTGATCGTGTAAGGACCCTTGCTATCTATGGGAGGGTCAGAGAGCTGTCAGATTCCATCAAAAATATCTTAATTTGTGTTCCGAAGATGTCTTACGGGTTTGGAACAACATGAAGGTGAGTAATTAATGACAGAATTTTCATTTTTGGGTGAACTATCCCTTTAACGTAAAAAGTGACGTTAGTGTAAAAGCATATTAATGAAACAACTGTAAAATATCAAAGCAGTTGGCTTTATTGTCAGCCACTTGACTGGTAACAGTGGCTGATAACTGGAAGGTTGTAGGTTCAGTTTCCACAAGAAGCAAGAGTGAGGCACACAACTCCATCATGCTTTACAGGGGACTATGCTTGTAATTAGAGCTTGCCCTACTAATTACTTTGAGCGAAAAGTGTCTGCAAAATTATATAGTAAACAGCTAAATGTTTTTCCCTCACAGAGATCCGGAATGGAAATCTGAAAGCCATCTTGGGGCTTTTCTTTAGCCTGTCTCGATACAAGCAGCAGCAACAGCCGCAGACGAACAGACAGACGCACACGCAACACACACATTCACACGCTCCCTTAAGCCAGCAGAGCAGCGCTCCGGCCCAGCTGACCTCCACCTCGCATGGGACGCACACACACAAATCACAGCCAGAGATGCAGTCCAGGTAACATCTATCTATCTATCTATCTATCTATCTATCTATCTATCTATCTCGGTCTGTCTGTCTGTCTGTCTATCTAGTGTTCTACCTAGCATTCTATTTAGCGTTCTAGCGTTCTATCGTTCTATCTATAATGTTCTACCGTTCTATCTAATGTACATATGTTATATGGATTGATTTGAAGCAGTCTGTCTCTCTGAATGTGTCTTCATTCTCTTAGCTTTGTGATTGTGTGATGTTGTGTTAGTCATCACTGTCTGTGTTTGTCTGTCTCTCTCTATCTCTCTTTCTCCTCTTGTTTCTCTTGTTCTTTCGATCTAGGGATGGCTGTCAGAGTAAACTCAAGTTTTCCATTGGTCAGAAAAAGTCTTCTAGGTAGCGCTCTCACTCCCGTCCTGTGCTCTCGTGTATTTCCTCTCCTGTCAACCTGCTCATCATCACCCTCCTCTTCCTCACTTTTTCTCTGCATGTGATTTTTGTGGTCTAAATCTACTCACATATGTACAAGATTGTTCTGTGAAACTCAATTATTCGAACTGGCTACACAATACAATATTATTTTAATTAAATAGTATTAAATAATAATTATTATTATTTGGCTATATGTATAATACATTATAAAATATCCATTCTTACTTCAATAATGCTTTACAGTTCTAATCTCATAAATAACTGTAATAACAGTTATAACTTCAAATAAAGAGTGTACTGCACTAATTACACCATATTTCAGGTGTTTTATCATGTGTTGTCATATGTTGGCATTAGTGCATTACACTGTTTAAAGCATATAGATCTTTTTTGTGCACTTGAATGTGTATAATAAAGTATTTTTTGGTTATTATATAGCTAAATATTATTAAGTATTTTAACTGTGGTTACAGTGATTTAAAAAATATATAACAGAGTGCAGTTGATAATATGAATAACTTTATAATGCATGTATATATTTAATAGATATCTATTTATTTTATTTCACGGATATATTGTTAGAAAGAGACACCTATTAAATTGATGAATAAAACCAGTTTTATTTAAAATATAAAAAGGAAAGTAAGAAAGAAAAAAAATACCTATCCTGGTGAACTTTTCCTTGAATTTATTTGGCCAGACAGAATATGTGGACTCTTTGTCAGGTGACGTTACCCAAAAACATGTCCCAGTGGAAATGTCTGCGCAGTGAGCTGTGATAACTTTAAAATAACCGCTCTGTGTGATGCCCTGCTTGAGTATGAGATTAATTATTAATTGTGGTGTGTGATAGAAAGGTTGAGGTTGTAATTTTGGTTTCAGTGAATGATGTGTTCGTGCCTTCAGTTACCAAGTGCTGTAAATGCATTTCAAATGCAAACGTGTAACGTGTTTCAGATAACTACACTAAAAATACTATATGAATCACCTTATTCAAAATTCCCAGTTTGAATATTGGTCCAGTCTTCAATTTTCCACCATTCATTTTTGGCAACACGTGACACAATATTGCCATCTAATGGTGGATAGTTATAATTGCAGATAAGCCTTCCGCAGATATGAGATGTATTTTAGGCGAGAAGGAAAATAAAGAGAGCGGAAAAATATCTCTCTACCACATTACTATTTTCCATACTTATGAGAAAATGTCAAGGCCACACAATAGACAGCAATGTGATTAGCATAGGTCACTACAGATGTCCTTGTACTTTACATGGCATTGACATGGCATTTACCTAGACTTGATTGTTAGGTGAGATTAGTCTATTTGTCTGTCAGTCATGAAGGTATTGAAGGCTAGGACTGATGGAGAAATGTCACGTTAGAAATAAATACATTGTTGTGAGATGTATTTTAGGCGAGAAGGAAAATAAAGAGAGCGGAAAAATATCTCTCTACCACATTACTATTTTCCATACTTATGAGAAAATGTCAAGGCCACACAATAGACAGCAATGTGATTAGCATAGGTCACTACAGATGTCCTTGTACTTTACATGGCATTGACATGGCATTTACCTAGACTTGATTGTTAGGTGAGATTAGTCTATTTGTCTGTCAGTCATGAAGGCATTGAAGGGCTAGGACTGACGGAGAAATGTCACGTTAGAAATAAATACATTGTTGACTAAGGGTTATTAATTGTTGCATTGCTTACAAGCACAAAATACTATTTGCTACCTAAGTGCTTCTGCTGGAGGGATTCACTATTGATGTATTGAGCAGATCCTCTGTCACTTTGTGTAAATAAAAAAGCCCACCAAAGCAATTTAAAGTGTTTTTGCTGTTGGGGAGAGGAGATGTTGTTTTTTTTTCAGCTTTATTCACTGGGAATGAATTGAACAAGGCTGATTCTAGAGCAAGAGAACTGAGAAAGGCACAAACATTCTGTTTTTTTTAAATAAAAAACTCTTTAGGCATTAAACGGCCATCTAGAAACCACTCAGAATGCATTAGCAACCCCCTGGCAAGCACCAGCAACACCTGAGCACAAGTTCTGCACCGGCAAGAAGCACACACATTTTCTTCAGAAAATGTAAGAATCTTGCTGTTGATATTTCTGCTCTCTCGCTGTGACAGATTACCTGGCCCCACCTCGAGGATGTCCACTGCGGGCAGTGAGAGTTCTCCTCGAGGGTCCATCAGTTCAGCAGGGAATCGCCGCAGTCAGGTGTTCAGTGATAAAGCCAAACCTGCAGCAGCTCAGGCCAAAGGTAAGCCCAACTTCACAGTCTTTAAGGTGAAGTGATCTCTGAATTGAAACATTACTCATAATCTCATCTGAAAATGGCAGGTCAAGATTCAGCTTAACTGTTTTTAACATGGATAATAATGAGAAATGCTTCTTGAGCAGCAATTCAGCATCTGAAGGATCATGTGACCCTGAGGACTGGAAAATGTAGCTTTGCCATCACAGGAATAAATAACATTTTAAAATGTATTAAAATAGAAAACAGTTCTTTTAAATTGCAAAAATATTTCACAGTATTCCATTTATTGTATTTTAGATTAAATAAATGCTAAAAGTCTTAGTGAGACTTCTTAAACGTCGTCATCTTCTTCAATAAAAAATTTTACCAACCCCTTTTGAATGGCACTGTACCGTATATCCTTTTGTGCATTTACAAGAACAATGTCTAGATGTAAAATGTGGCTCTTGGTTAACATTATCCAGTAGCCCACATGGCCTATATGAAGTCAGCAGAAAACAAAAGTTAACTTTCTAGAGGAAGGTATTGCATTTGAATCATTTTCTGGAGTAATGTGCGCTGATGAATTATGCACCATGAGATAAACCGGGTCAATTTTGAGTTCATGTTGACTTTAAGCGGTCACTGTGTTAAAACATACCAACCACATTTCTGTGCTCTGTGACGGAGCTGTGCTGAGTTTAGAGTAGTTAATGTAGCAGTCAGTGCTGGAAATAACTGCTTATAATGACTCTGAGTGAAGCTAGTCACACAAACCCTAGCTGAGATGTTTGAAAGATGTTGCCGTACGTGTGTGTGCGTGGTACTGACTTTCTGCATTAATTAGTGTGTTTTGGCTCTGAGAATGTGGTGGCAGTGAAAGAGAGACAGAGAGAGACGGAGGTTTCCACAGTGTCATGCTTTAGGCAATTTATTCTGTTTTTCTGTTTTTCCACTGTATGTTGTGTACATATTCCTAAGTATTAAATTGAGTGAAGCATTTGAAAGAAAAAAAAATTCAAAGCAGAAAAAATGTATGTATTCAAACTGTATTCCCATGTTCACTTTTTAAGAGTATTTTCTTGAATAATCTGACTTTTGAAGCAGGTGAAGAGTTCAGATGTTTTGGTAAGTTGGTAAATGGTGTCAGCCGACTGATTCTCCCATAATGCATTTAGCTCTGTTATTTTGTGTGTGACCTGCTTAATGCAAAGCAGAGTGAGAATGTGAATCACAGAGCAAAGGAGCACAACTCTTCTGTGTGTGTGCCATCATTTTGTCACTGTTGAAACAGATACATCTGTTTGTACCTCATCTGAGATGACATAAGTCAAGAGAGCGTTGGGAAGAGGTTTACAGTTTCAAAATTTTAACGCAGGCAAGAAAAAATTTGCCTTTTATGTGCTTTTAGAGTTTGAAATCAATTTAGACCGGTAAGTAAGTTTAAATTCACTGATGTAAACAGCTGTATTTGTATAGTTGTAATTTATGCAATTTTGTGCAATTTTATTTTATTTTTCCATCCATTGTTTACTCACCCTCATGTTGTTCCAAACCTGTCTGACTTTCTTTCTTCTGTGGAACATGAGAAAAAAATCTATTTTATAGAATGTTGGTGACCAGACAGTTCCCTATTGATTCCCATTGACTTTCATAAAAAAACAGTGGAAGTGCAATGGGAACTGAAACTGTTTTCTTATCAATATTATTCAAAATATACTCTTCTGTGTTCCTTAGATGAAAGAAGGTGAATACAGGTTTGGAACAACATGAAGATGAGTAAAATGTTCATTTTTGGGTGAACTATTGCCTTATGGTTCATATTCTGTTTAAGCCTTTATTTACAGCAATTGCTGTATTTGTGTATAATGTTGGATTATTGAAATATTAGGCATGTTTACATGATGATTACAAGATCTCAATATGACCAATAACAATTGGAATTTTCTTGTGCATGTAAACATGACTGTATTCAATAACAGAGAAAAAAAACCTGTCAAGGTACAGTATGAAACAGGCATGATGAGATTATTGGTGGGCTCTCGTGGGGTGGTCATCTGAGACTAATGACAGCTGTTATTCTACCGTGGAGAAATAATCACTTAAATATGGACATTAAGAGGAACTGAGAGGGGACACAAACCCTGAGGGCAGAAAGTTGCTCTAGAGTTTCCTAATGATATGAGGGCGACAGCGAGATTATTTCTGCCTAAAGTTTTGCAGTTCATTATCATATGGTCTGTTTCTGGACATTAACTGCTCAGCTTTTTCTCTCTCTCAACTTTCATCTCTATAACTAAGGTCTTTTTTTCCCCGACCTATCCCCTTCTCGGCCCCTCTCTTTCCTCTCTCTACCTATTGGAAGTCATTAGTGGTCTGACCCACTTCTCTCTGGCTGGCATGGCTAACTGGACCTTAATCACTTCCTAATTGCCGCTTTGTTTCTGTGCCGCTCATTAAATGCCAAACTGAATGAGATGGGAATGGTGTTTTTCCCCTCATGTCAGATTGTTTAATAAAACATACAGATAAAAAATAAACGCTGAACCTGAAAAATAATAAAACATTTGAGTGTAATCAGTTGATTTTTATTCAGAATTGGCTAGCAAAGCCTTTACATTCAGTCTTAACTTAAGTGCTTGCCAAAAGTTTGTAGCTGATATTTTGTCAAATAATATTTTGCTCTGTTTAAAATGATATAAATCTGAATAAACGGCACATAAAGTATCTGTGAGAAGCATCCGGTACTCCAACTAGGCACTCAGTGGGATAAATCTATAGGTTTTTTTATATCTGTTCTGCTACATCTCATTTGAAATGTGCAGCATTAGTATATGCTCAGATGTTTTTAGAGTTTCGTTTAGAGTTTTTGGGCACTTCAGGTCTTTTTTTTCTGGGACTGGACCACCGGCCGACTGACAGAGTGAATGTGTTGAGCGTGATCTAGAGGCTCAGAGGGAGGGGGCTGGACACAGGGAGAACTCGCCAACGTTTGCAGTTAAGAGTTTTATTTGCAGTGTATATCCTGCGAGTGAACACGACTACTGAGACTCTACAGGCTGGACTGACGTGAAACCAGCTCACTTTAACAAATGGAGCTGCCAGGTGAATGAGAGACAGATAACATGTTGATTTCATTTTCATTTTTATGTTTTTCTTAGCTTTTTTGTAAACAGCTTTTTTTTACTGCAGTGGAGAGGAACATTTTCAGTTTGTTTGTTTTTTCATGATTATAATTTACACTTTTGGAATATTTAATGTGAACAATACATGTCATTCTGCAAGGTTTGGCTAAATTTACCATTTGTTTTCAAGGACTTATTTATAACTCTGTGCTAAAATGCACATCTGTTTATTTAATCAATTTACACTGGCTATTTATAGATTTTCATTCTTTGATAGTATTTCCGTTTTTTATGATTGTGTTTGGATCTTCATGTCAGTTATTTAAAGGAAGTTTTGATTGTCTATGTCACAGAGAGCACAATAGCTAAATTTGGCCTCCAGTGTTTGAATGGGCATTAAAGTCTTACTCGCTGTGTTAGTGTAAACCGTTTAGAATCGATCTCAGCGGGCTGTCTGCTGCTTACTATAAGAATAGCATTAGCTCAGGAGTAACTAGCCTTTTATGGGCAGGTAGAACAGTTTCAAAACTTTCAGACCTTTTCTCCTGTTTTTTTTTTTTAGCCTTTGATTTAATCTACTTTAATTTTCACTCTTATTTCCCTTAAATGTTCTTCTTCCACAACATCCATTTGGTTTTCAGATCTGATTTTTAGGGCTGTTATTGAAAAAAATTATATCGCGATACATATTGATATTGAATTATTGTCCAGCCCTAGGCTGACTGTTCATCAGTGTTGTTGTATCTGTTACTATAGTAATGATGTATGTGTCAGCATACATGTCTTTCTCATATATGATGTTATGTGTTCCGTAATGATGAAAAACCACATGAAATCTGATCAGACTATTTGACTGGCAAAAATGAGATTTTAATTGGATTTCAAAACATATCGATGCGGTGTGTCTGCAAAAATGCATAGATGTAAATGTAACTGAATAAAGTTTAAGTAGTAAGATTACTAAAAGTGAAATAAAAATAGATTAAAGTTAAATGAAATGTTAAAAAGAACACAAAAAAGACAGAAGTGCATTAAAAAAAAAACTAAAATTAATACTAAACATGGAATATAAACCATCTCTTGACCTTCCCATTTTTATAGAACAATGTTAATTATTATTATTATTTATTTTTATTTTTTTTGGTATATTTTGTGTTCCCTTGCTCTGTGGTTTTCATGTATTTCATATGTTATGTATTTTTTTTCTTTCATTTTGCTGCCCATCTTGACCAGGACACTCTGGAAGAAAATATATTTTATTTCAATGGGACCTTCCTGGTTAAATAAATGAGAAAAGAAAACAAAACAAAACAAAATTTAAAATATGAATTAGTGAGAAATAATGAGGTTATAAGAGAGAAACAATGCGGCAAGACGTGCATCCAAATGAGAGAGAGAGAGGCCGCGATGCTAGACTGATTAATGTGCATGCGTTTTTATTTTCAGATTTATAGGTCTGACTTGACAAACATTTTTATTAGTTTAGTCAAACCATTGCGTGCAATTACAACAAATAAGTATACATTTCCAGCATCTTACGCAACATTAACATTTATACAAAAAGGCTAGTTAATAAGTTAAACAAAAAAGTAATTTTTCCCTCAAAAAAGTAATCAGCATTTCATAACATAAAATAGATATTTATATATTTTTTGTTCCTAAGTTTTTTTTTTTATCTCAAAGTCAGGTTTATTTTATTTTACAAAAAAAAAATGTCATAAGCATATCATAAAATATATTATTTATGTATTTTTGTTTTTCATTAAACAATTACAATTTGCTCAAAATCTATTACATTTCTGATTTACAGCGAGTGATGGTTCTCGGAACCACTGTTCACATTTATTTGTACGTTGCCGTATATTGTACATCCCGCTAAATAGTTATTCGGAGATAAAGTCTTTGTTGTTCTTTGTTGTTTTTCTGGTATGGTTTCCGTTTGATCTGATGCTAGTACTGCACTCCAACGTTTTCTGTTGTTTAGTGATGGTCTCCAGTAGGATTTCAGTGAGCTTTCTGACCTAAAAAAATGTTTTAAATTAGAAATTTTGCAAAATGATGCAATTAATTTAGCATCATTTCATTTCCACTGTAGGCTATGTGTTAAACAAATCAGAAACATACCTGTGTCCGCTGACGGCTATGATTTCTCTCGCTTGGAGCCCTGCATCAGACAATTTTTGGATTGCAGTGGCCCTGATGCTGTGGTTCGTGTAGGACGATCGCGTCCCAGCTTCTTTGCACATTCTTGGGAGCATTTGTGACAGCTGATTATTGCCCAAAGGAACAGTGCTGTACCATATCTTGTCGTTAGCTTCAAATCTCCTCTTAGGGTGCAGATAGAGTGCTTTTGCGTCAGGTGGGAGTTTGCTGAGATATTTCTCTAGCGAAGAAACTGGGCACATGGGGTTACCGGGCTCTTCAAACATAGCGCCCCTCCGATTTTCCCTGTCGACCTCCAGTGGGTTTTTGTGGTTTTTCGTTTCCTCATTAAATGTCAACGTGAAATATTTCGTACCATTTTCGTCTCTCTTTAGTTCAAACGAGTCTGGCATAAGTTGTCGATTGCCCTCCTTCCCTCTTCGTGCAAAGTGTAACTGAATGTCATACCACACCTTGTTTAATAAACCTTTCGGGTTGCCAGGGTCAAGTGCAGCAGATCGCTTCAGTATTTGCTGGTCTTCAGATGAAATCGGAGGGTAGTGTGATGTTCTGTCTGTACCGGATCAACTCCTTTAAAAACGTTTTTGGCGGACGTAAACTCAGGGTCTTGCATTAAATTCCACGCACGGCTAAGAGGAGGTTCATTAATGTGGCGATTCAGCGCCGATCGAAGACTCAAGTAACTGCTGATACCATACAGTTCTCCTTTACTGGTCCTAATGGAGCCATAGAAATCGCGCAAAACTGAGCTCATTTGTGATTTCTCGATGTGTTTGAGGTCGATATTGAGCTGTTTTTCGGATAACCATGATTTAAAACAGTTCACAGCCCACACTGTTTGCTGCACCGTGTTATTTTCATGTCGGGTTTTTTCTAAATTGTCCAAATCTGCAGGTGTAATGGCTGCACTTCTTGCTGTTTGGCCTGTTAGTGATTCCCCTGCATCTTCATCGTCTGTTGAGCTTTCGTAGTTAATATCAAATGAAATATTCATAAAAATGTGTCGTTTGCCATGTTTGTTTCTTCTTATATTAACTAACGTACTCTACGATTAGCTCAGTGAATAATAAAAAAAAAACATAGACCCGGCTAGAACAAGCGGAGTGATACAAAATTGTGAAAGGGCGTTCCTGTAGCGATACCAGTACAATATCTCACGGTTCTCAACCAATCAGATTTGAGAACCAGAACGAACTGTTGTATAAAACAGTATATGGAGGGGAAGGATAGTTAGGTCAGTGGATAAAGAGGTTTATGGGTCATTTTTCACGGATGTGTACCTTGACTTCATCGACTGAAGCCCTGTTTGACTGGACTCTTTCCATCTCACTGTTTACCTCTAAAACGTCATATTTCATATCTGATTTTGCTTCCCGTTCTGAAACAAAACCCGCAGAAACCACCCGTCACCACCGATCCCATCTTTAATTAAATGAGAGTAGGTGAATGGATTTCATCAGATAGGTTTTTCTCTCATTTGTCAGTGTTATTGGGTCTTTTTTTATCAGATGGGACTCATTTGGAAGACAAATTGCGTCTTGTCCCTTCCTTCCTGATCACCGGGCGCACCAGGGACTCCTTCTGAATACTAACAGGGATGTTTCTGTCTGATAGCGATGAGGCTTGCAGTACCCTGTTAGTGACTCTTTGACACTCTACTAGTTAGGCTTTTGGGTTATTGGCATCAAGTCAGGTCTACTTTACCACTTCTTCTGGCCAAGAACTGGCCACTTAGACAGGAAGAGGTCGTCTGACTGACACGTAAAGTGACCAACCACAGTTTAGGTTTGTATTTGAAATCTAGATAGGGTTAAGGTGAAATTATATATAGCAACAAATCAGAATAGATCGTCGGAGTTGTTAGACAACTCCTTTAAAAATGTTGTTGGCGGATGTAAACTCAGGGTCTTGCATTACATTCCATGCACGGCTAAGAGGAGGTTCATTAATGTGGCGATTCAGCGCCGATCGAAGACTCAAGTAACTGCTGATACCATACAGTTCTCCTTTACTGGTCCTAATGGAGCCATAGAAATCGCGCAAAACTGAGCTCATTTGTGATTTCTCGATGTGTTTGAGGTCGATATTGAGCTGTTTTTCGGATAACCATGATTTAAAACAGTTCACAGCCCACACTGTTTGCCTCACCGTGTTATTTTCATGTCTGGTTTTTTCTAAATTGTTCAAATCTGCAGGTGTAATGGCTGCACTTCTTGCTGTTTGCTTGTCATTTGCCATGTTTGTTTCTTCTTATATTAACTAACGTACTCTACGATTAGCTCAGTGAATAATAAAAAAAAAACATAGACCCGGCTAGAACAAGCGGAGTGATACAAAATTGTGAAAGGGCGTTCCTGTAGCGATACCAGTACAATATCTCACGGTTCTCAACCAATCAGATTTGAGAACCAGAACGAACTGTTGTATAATGGTATATAAACTAAAATAACATTGGACCATTCAAACTAAAACACATTTCTGATTTTAAGCAGATTAAAAATCTGATTTTAATTCAATTTCAGATTTCATTTAAGTATGGTACAGATAAAAAAAAAAAACGAATTTGATGATTTCATGTGTATTTTACTGTGAACTGCTGTTAACTCCTTCTCCCACATATGCGGTCCAACTTTCTCCATGATTATTTTAACCTGTCTCTCTGATTTTCCTGTTTTTCACCGTCACCTCTCATGTCTTTTCCTCTCCAGAATCATCAGAGTGTGTCACCTCACACGGCGTGACTGAGCACACTCTGTCATCCCTGGCATCCGCCTGCACCTCTGTTAGCACCAGCACTGTGGCATCTTCATCTTCATCGTCAGCCATCCCCCAGCCCAACTCGAGTAGCAAACCCTGGAGAAGCAAATCTCAGAGCACCAAGCACACTGCAACCTCCACCGCTCCCTCCACGGTGCTTTCCATCAAACCAGATCTCCAAGCCAAGCAGCCCGTGCCTGCAGAGCTGCCACCGAAAGCTGTGCCTCAGAAGTCCATGCTGGAAAAACTCAAACTTTTCAACAGCAAAGGTGGCTCCAAGTCATCCACGCCAGCAGAGGGCGCCGTTACGCCAACAGGAGGAAAAGATGCCGGTTTGGTTTTAGAAAGAGTCGGGGCTGGTTCCAATACAGAACCCATTGAGGAAATGGATGGTAACGTCAGACCCACGAATGGATCGAGTGCTATTACCATGACAACCAGCAGCCCAAAGATTGCGTTAAAGGGCATTGCACAGCGGACACTTAGCCGGGCGCTCATGGCGAAAAAAGCCTCAACTAAATCCGTAGAGAAAGAAAAGGAAAAAGAACGAGCTAAGGAGAAAGACAAAAACGGGAAAGAGGGCTCAAAGCGTGTCCCTGCCTCGGAAAAGGTAGAGAACAAAGAGGAAGTTAAGGAGGAAGTTGTTCCCTCAAGCAAAGTTGCTCCCTCCGAGGCAGAGCCCAGGAAAGCCTCCAAGATCGCCAGCTTTATACCCAAAGGCGGCAAGGTGGGAGGTACCAAGAAAGATAGCTCCGCCCCTGTGCAAAGCGGCATTCCAAAACCAGGAAGTAAAAACTCAGGAAATGGAGTGGTAAAGAGTTCAGCGTTGCCCCTCGGTGGTAAAGACAATGAGAGGCCCCGCAGTATGCGTCTGGGAGAGGGTCTGGGACTTCATAGGGACAGCCGGCATTCCTCGTCCTCTTCCAGCCTGGCTTCCACTGAGGGGAAAGGACACCACAGCGCCGCCCCGTTGGCCAATGGAACACATTCTACAGCCAGCAACACAGTCAGTGTGCAGCTGCCTCAACCCCAGCAGCAGTACAGCCACCCCAACACAGCCACCGTAGCACCCTTCATGTACAGGTGAGACTCTTATTGGGATTTTCAACTGGAGCTTTAGATCGAAGGTGAGGCTCGAGCCAGATCTAGAGATCATAAGGGGCTCATTTGACTTGGACCAGTAAGCAACCACCAAGTAACCAGTGTTATTATTGTTAACTAAAACTAAATTAAAAATTAAAAATAAACTGAAATAAAATAAAACTGATAAAAAAATTAATCTAAATAGAAATATCTGAAAAAATGATATAACAACTGTTACCTTGGCAACTAACTAAAATAAAATGTTTAATCTGAAATACTGAAATTACTAGAATTAAAACAAAAATAAAAATAAATAGACTAAATAGGTTAAATATTTTTAAAAAGCTAATAAAGTGACAAATTACTAAAACTTAAACTAAAATTTAAATGAATACTGAAGATTTAAAAGTATAAGCTAATTCAAAATATGAATAAATACTATAATAGTATATAAATAATATTAAAATATCATTGCTAGTAACGACCAAAAACCCAGCAACCACATAGCAATTTGCTTAAAATCTCTCACAGCACCTTGGCAGCTGCATTGCAACCTCCTGACAACCACCCAAAACATCCATACAATCACATGCCTGCATGCTAAAAACCTTGCAGAACACCTTAATAACAACATAGCATAAGTTGGTATAGTTTTGTACTGTTAAAAAATGAGTGAAATCTTTATGCATGTATTACTGTACATATTAGATAAAGTGCCAAACTCACGGCAAAGCAGAAGCAGAATTGTACTCTACTATTTGTTTAGTTTATGAGAACGGCTCTAGTAAGTGTGCATGCGTGCTCACATGTGTATGGACTCCCCGTCAGGCTCAGCTGTGAAGCGTTTGACTGGTATTTCCTCTGAAACAGACCTGTTGCCCTGTGTTTGTTTTCCATAAAGGATTCCTTTAGTCAGGCCATGACTTCTGCTGACTAGAATGTCACAGAAAATATGTATGCATCTATATGAAGGACATCTTTTTTTATTTTTAACCCCTGTGTTTTTAGGTCTCAGAATGAGGCAGATGGAAACATTGGCACAAACCCAAGCTCTGGATGTCGTAGTAGTGACTCCAGTAGCTTCAGTAAGATCAACCAGTCTTCTACTGAGGACCTGTCAGGTAACCTGTTCAGTTCATATCTGATGAAGTCTAAAACATTGATCTGGTAGTCTAAGACCTTTTCCTGTTGGTAATAATAATAATCAATGCATAATTTTAAGAAAATAAGATAAGTATTTAAGATTGATGTTGATGATGATTTTCTGAAGTTTAAATCAAGCAAGAAATTGAGGGCATTTTTTGTTTGTGTGTTTGTTTTGTTTTTTAAAGAAGTCTCTTATGCTCACCTAGGCTGCATTTATTTGATCAGAAACAGTAAAAAGTTTGTATACAGATACATAATCTATTCATGTGATGGTAAAGCTGAATTTCAGCAGCCATCAATCAATGTTGAAAACATTTGTTAGGATTATTTTATTATTAAGTTCAAAAGAAGAGCATTTATTTGAAATATAAATTTATTGTAACATTAGAAACTCCTTAACTGTTACTTATGATTAATTTAATGCATACTTGCTGAATAAAAGCATTAATAACTCTTTTAAAAACAAAATCTTACCCTAAACTGTTGAACAGTGTTTAAATACTGATATATGATATAAAAAGTGAAAATGAATGCCCTATTTTCAGGTGAAGATCCAGAGACCAGACGACTGAGAACTGTCAAAAATATTGCTGACCTGCGGCAGAATTTAGAAGAGACCATGTCAAGTTTGCGGGGGACACAGGTCACACACAGGTAGATGCTTCTATTTCTTACTTTTCACAGCCTGATGCAGTAGGATAACTTTAAGAAAGAAAGCAGCTAAGATAGAGAAGAAGACAGTTCTTTGGTGAACCATGAAGCCAGCTTTAGCAGTGAGGAAAAAGCATATTATTCTCCTAAACCTCCACCCCAATCAAACTGGCAAAGACAGGCTGCCTTAAAAGGACACTTTTTTTCTCATAGTATTTTATCTTTAGAGACAGTAACAAGTAGCCACTCCTTCCTCAGCTTGACTCTTTTTACTGTAAATGACTAAATGAATAGAGTCTGTCCACTGGCTCCACCATGCTCTTTCCATCTATATTCTTAAAACCTTCTTTGTTCCTGTTTTTTGATTATTCATCTAATTGACCCAGACTGCATTGCTATGATGGAATCATGAAGTAATTGTAAACTGCTTAATAAGTCAATTTTTGGCCAAAATAAGAGCAGTGAGACATTTTTGTTCCCCTACGGTGTCAGGCTATTGGTTACAATTCCTCAGCACTATGCATAAAATCTTTCCTCATATTATAAGTTAAGTAAATATTGTAATTGAATACTGTTTGGTGAAAAATACCATGTTAACTGTAGTTTCCTGGAATTAACTATACTACAACAGCCTACAAATGTTGGTATAACTTTAGTAATAAAAATAACTAATACCATGGTATTTTTGCAGAAACTATAGATATGTACCATGGTATAACTTTTGATACAATGGTACATTTTAGTTTTAAAATGTCATATGAATTTGATTTTAAATGCTCTTTCTCTCAGTACACTGGAGACCACTTTTGATGGTGGTGTTACTACTGAAATGAGTAGTCGCAGCATCCTCAGCATGGCATCTCGACCCACGCCGCTGTCCTGGGCCAGTCGCATGGGCCAGTCCAGCCCCCGTCTACAAGCAGGAGATGCTCCCTCGGTTGGTAACGGCTATCAGTCCCGCAGCGGAGGTGTGTCGTCCGGCCAGGGCCGGTATCTGTATCAGGCTCCTCTACGGAAGCAGCTGGCAGCACGCGGCAGCGCCCTCTGTGGTCTGGAGCTGGGAGACAGGGCGGAGGATCTGGAGCTGGCAGGTGTGGGGCTGGAAATGAGCGGCTACATGAGTGATGGAGACGTGCTGGCTAAGAACGCACGCACTGATGAGCTGACCAGCGGGTAAGTGTGGAAGATGGTTGCCACTGGTTAAGACAGATGACTAATGGGGTTTTTCAATGGCTGATAATTATGGGCGTTGTCTGAATGTAGTTTAGTGGAGATGAAAGGAAAATTAAAAGGCAGTTTAAAGGTGCACATCCTAATTTACACAAGTGGTAATTCTTTGTTGGTCCTAGAAAAGCATTATTGTTAAACAATTATTGTGTAAATTGTGTCAAAAAATTGCCTAAAGGGAGCAGATTTGGTGTAAATATATTTCTATTAAAGGTCAGTTGAGTTTACTGTAATTAGTGTTGTCATGTTCATAAATTTCTACATTACCATATGGCATGAAACTTATGAACTGAATCATGCTTTCTGTGAAGACTGGAGAACTTCTCAAAGTGGATATTTGCAGTCTGGTTTTATTGCAGTGTTGCCACTAGAGGATGATATGATTCCCTAAATATGAATTCACATGTTCTTTTCTTAGGTCTAATGCATTTTCGTATTGATTTTACAAATAAATGCATGACTACCAGGGCCAGAAATGAACTTTTCCATTTAGGGGCAATATTTGCCTCCTGGAATTGATATCCAGGGGCTTTTTTAACCTTTGTAAGGACAGTGTTTTTTTTTTTGTAGTTGTTGTTTTTTACCTCATTAAATGTATTGGGCAGAGTTAACCAATTTTTACATTTAGGCTTTGTTTTGGTAAATCCACAAATTCAGAAGAGGATATACCATTTAAAAGTTTGGGGTCATAAGATTTTTTAAACAAGTCTTTTATAATCACCAAGGCTGTATTTATTTGAAGAAGAAAAAAACAGTAAAAACAATATTGTGAAATATTATTAGAATTTAAAAATGCTTTCTATTTTAATATATTTTAAAATGTAATTTATTCTTGTGATGGCAAACCTGAATTTTTCATTACTCCAGTCTTCAGGGTCACATGATCCTTCATAAATTCTAATATGCTGATTTGATGCTTAAGAAACATTTATTTTTATTATCAATGTTGTGCAATTCAAAAGAACAGCATTCGTTTGAAATACAATTTTTAACTTTTAATCAATTTGATGCATCCTTCCTGAATAAAATGATCAATTTCTTTAAAAAAATATATTATACTCAAACTTTTGTATGGTACTGTATTTTGCTAACATATCATCATATAATAGTAGATGTTTGCCTTTTAAAGGGAAAAATTTTTTTTGCGCTCTTAAAGGGATGGTTCACCCAAAAATGAAAATGCTTTTATCTCCCTCAAGTTGCTCCAAACCTTTATGAATTTCTTTCTTCTGTTGAATACAAAAGAAGATAGTTTGAAGAATGTTGGTAACCAAACAGTTGCTGGTAGCCATCGACTTCCATAGTATTTGTTTTTTATTATTATTATTATTATTTATTTATTTTTCCCATACTATAGAACTGTTTGATTACCCATATTCATCAAAAAATGTCATTTTTGAGTGAACTATCCCTTTAAAATCTGAAACGGATTTATACTTTTTCCTCTCTGTTGCCTTTACTTCAAAGCTCAGGATAGACACTAGAGAAGGATGTAGGACTTTGTGTGTTTTTATGGTTGCGTCAGTGTGAATCAGCGTTGTCCTGATTTACTGAGTCAATTCTCACGGGTAGATTTGAATCCAATTGCATTTCAGATACACCTATGACGTCTGATGACGCAGGTGAACACATTAAATCAATGAATACTGTCAGCTTGCAGCTCTGGCCCTTCAGGCAGTAATAAAAGCGGTTTTAGTGCATGTGCTCTTTCTTGTACTGAGTGTACAGATTGAAGGGGCAATGAAACACAGATTTGACGCCCCCTTCATGCTGAAACAAGCTCTCTGCATACCTTGGCTGTGATAATGTGCAATTTAAACCTCTTGTGTTATTTCCCCACAATCACAGTCTTCCTGTGTGGCTTGAACACTACAAACCGTTCTGGTGCTTCTAACATTACCAGATTACAGAGAACAGGCCAAGTGACAGGCTGCAATTACACCTGGCCATAAGCCTGACGTCCGACAAAATCCAGGCATCAAAATCCTGTCAAATTCGCTGTTTCGCCTGTCTTATGGGTGCTATTGTAATTGTGACATTTTGAAAGTGAAGTCCTTAACACTGACACTGGAAAAAAAGGGATTCCCAGTGAGTGTGCTTTGATAAATGTCTCTTAAACTAGAGGATCTCCAACACAATTGATGATGGCATGAGCATTGAGGGAAGTGAGATTGGTATTGCAGGGCTATATAGATCTTGAAGTGCACTAACACGTTTGAACCAGATCCCTCACGGAAAGAGGCTCTCATGATGCTGGTGTTGGATCTGATTTCCCAGGTCCCAAAGTGGTTGTTTTCACAGTGCAATCAGGACTGACGGGTTAAAAGACTCGCTGTAGACGTTCACCCCAGGCTGCTCTATATATGAACACATACAGGTTGAGCTAATATGATCTCCTTCCCCTATTCATGACAGCACTTTGATAATGGAGAGACAGGTTTGTCACATTACATCATATGTATCGTGCTGAACTGAATATGCTCTTTAGGTAAAAGAGGCTTTTATTACTGACATTGTGGTTAGAGCATCTGTGAGGCTACTGAGATTTCTGTAAAGCAAATAATCATCTGAAATAAGATGGAATCTTGTCACTGGTTAAAGTTTGTTAATAGCATATAGGCCTAGTCTTGCATAAGCTGAGGGCATTTAAAGCCTTTAGTTTGTTTGGTCTCTGTGCAGCTGTATTGGTGTTTGTTCACAAATGGTTTTGCTTTAGTAGGTCAGAAAACGCATGCTAAGACCTTGATGTTCCTCTCCAAACACAGATTATACAGTAGCTGTCAGATCATGAATACTTTATATCACCAGGTCTTGTTTACACAGAAACACACATTCAGTAGTTTTAAAGTGTAAATTCATTATCTCAAAATGCATGATAACCAATAAGAAGATTGTCTCAAAACATTATATATTTTATATAGGCTGGTGTATTGCATTTGAATTTTATCTATTTTATTTTTTAAAAGATTTTTATTGATTGAAATACTTTTTATTCCTTTATTTCATCAACATTTCACAAGAAAAACAAAGAATTATCTTTAGCATAGATTTGGGATCATAGAGATTTTTTCATAGTCATTTTTCGAATTTGAATTTGAATTCAAGTTCTTGACTTAATGTTTCATAATGTAATATAATATATTCATATATAATATAATGTAATTTATCGAATTATTTTACCTGTCCTGGAACAGCAAGAATTTATTTTCATATAATTTTCATGAAAAAAAAAAAGATATATATACTGAAATCTACTTGACTTGACATTTGTGCTTAACTCTACAGGTTTCTTCACTCTGGACGGTCAACCCAAGAGTATGAGCTGTCCATCCACTGGTCTTAATGAAGAAGTGCTTAGTCACATTGGTCAGGTGGCTTCCTCTGTGCCTGTGGAGGATTTCACTATCCATGGAGGTACCTTTTCACTCTCATCTCTGCATACACCTGCACACAATTATGAAAAGGCAAATGGCCTGTACCCAAAGTCATTTTTGAAGCATGTTGGGAACCGGCTATATCTACAGTTCCTAAATATAAATATATAAAGAAATAAATATAGTCATAAATGTATAATATAAAAATAAATGACTTCATGTACAGCCATTCTTCCTTTAAAAATAATCAACCCTTTTACTTTTCAAATGTCAGACTCAAACATTGACTCTGTGGCGTCAATTTAGTCTTAACTCTCCTCTTAACTTTCTTTCCTGTTCCCTCTTTTTCTCATCCCCCTCTTTCTTCTCCTGATGTGCTGCCCTTTTCCCAAAACCCCTCCAGGCTCTCTTGGCCGGTCTGTTCATGGGGTGGGGGTTGTGTTTATGTGTGTGTGTGTGTGTGTGTGTGTTTTGGGGAAGGGGGTGGTTGGTTTAGCCTCCTCCCTCTTCACCAAACAGTCCAGCATACCGGCATAAACTTCAGCCACTCACACACAGAAGAGTAGAGACGTAGAATATACTCCAGCACTAGAGAAACACATGCAAAACATATTCATAACCTCACACGCTAATGCAAACAAACACATCAGAAAGCGTGTATCTCTCACAGGATCTCACCTATTGTTTGTTTTGAGTTAATGACTGTAGTATTTATTTATTCATTCATTGCCAAATCTGAGACCTCAAAGCCTGTGGTTTTCATTAGTCAATGGTTATTTTGTACAGTATCTGTGAACACTTTCATTGCTTTTGAATGTTCTTTATGTCCACATTTCATATAACAATTTTAATTGAATGAGTACTGTTGGATCTCTGTTTGTGTGTGTTTTCTCAGATACATGACGGATGGGGGATTGAGTCTGTATACGCGGCGATTGAACCGGATGCCGGATGGAATGGCAATGGTACGGGAAAGTCTGCAGCGTAATGCCTCCACCGGCCAGGGAGACGCCGACAGGTACCTAAAACATCTTTCTCATCGATCTGATCATGATCAAATGGCATTCTCTACATGCATAAAATGTAGAGTCACTCCTGCATTGAAATGTCATTGTCCTTCCTTTAACTGTGCAATGCCGTAGAGTGTAGTTTTATTATTAAAAAAGTATAATAATAAAATCAGCTTCTGTAGCTGATCACGTTTAACTGTTTTGTCAGAATACAGCCCTATCATCACAGCTGCATTGGTTTTGTAGGCTGCTGTAGGTCTATATTAACTTAATTGGGGGAAATCTTGTATGGAGGTGGCTCTGGTTGGTGATGGCACGCTCCACTACAGAAAAGAAAATAATAAAATAGGTCTTCTACTGAGTTGAGTTTGCACACTCCATCATTTCAGCAACTGAAATGATGGCTTGTCACCACAACCCTCTCTGTTGCAGATCTAGGTTGTAGGTTGTGGGTGTAACCCTGCAGAGTGGCTATGACGGCCCCTCTTAAACTATCATGTTTAATTAGCATGTGTATTTATATGTATTTGAGTCATTTAGCTGGCAGAGAGACAGATGTGTGTGTGAGCCGGATGAGATGCCACTCATTCATATATTACATCACCATATTTACTCCTTCAGCTAGAGGGGAAAGTAAGATTTAGATTGGGGAAAATATTGGAAGATTGTGTGTTTTAATGCCTAGATTTTTCATTCTTCTATGGAATATTGCTCATCCAGTGTTGGTAGTTTCTATTATTTGACTACAGCAAACAATATCACATATTTACATTATTATAAATATATTTACATGCTGCTGTTAAGTCATGTGCAGAATTTCATTGAACGCAGATTAGCAAAAGAAAACCATTGCTTCAATAAGTCGTAAATGCTGTCAGTATGATTATTTCAATATTATTATTGTTAATAGAAAGAGTTTCTCAAAACACCATAACAACTGCATAGCAACACCCTGGCAACCACCTATAGTGCATCGTGCCAGCAAGTTTTGAACAGCCTTTTTTTGTCCGGAAATTTCAAAAAATTTCAAAAAATAGAAATCAGTATTAAATCAAGGCTCCCTAGTTTTAAATATTATTATTTTTTATTTTTATTTATTTATTTCTGTTGAATGTTGTTTGTAAAACTAAAATCTAAATTAATCTAAATCTGAAAATATACTTCATATATTCATATATATCTCAAAATCAGTATTTTTCTATTTAATCTATTCAATATTATTTAATCACTAATTGGTCACTGTTTATTTTTCATCATTTTATA